CCTCTTCCACGTCAAGATAGATCACGCAGCAGAGGAACCACCCCACCTAGAAAAAGTAGAGAAAAAAAATGCCCCGCCTCAAACCCCCCCCCCAAAAAAAGAAAGAGAAAGGGAGGACAATACACGCACACAACACACCCACACATGTATATATGCGCATCTTCGAGCGGCCAACAGATCCACACCAAAAGCAAAGATAACGCCCCATCTCGTCTTATAAAACACGTTACCCCACACGATGATCATCGGCTACAAGCAGAAACATTAACAAAAACAAAATAGTCTTCCGTGCCTGAATGAAGCCGTGTTACATATTCCCAGAAATAGAACACAAAGATGGGAGATGACGGTTTGGCTCAGTGCACCGCCTGACATCCCCCACACCTCAGACAAGATTGATCCAACACCCACACACAAGTAAACAAACAAACAAAAAAAAGAATAATCTTCCGGGCGGCTGGACGGATCCTAAAAATCTATGGAAACCAAACAATTTAAGAAAAAAGGTTCTTTAGTTAATTGCTTCAATGTTTTATTTTCATTCAATATGTAGAATTCTGTGGATCACTAACATGGTCCCTTGTCCTCAGTTAGAATCTGAATATTATTACTTACGAAGTGGCAGACTTTGGGGTCTTCCAGCCAAAAGACCCCGCCGCTTCCCTTCGCAAGTTCCACCCCTTCGCCATGTCCTGAAGTGTAAACACACGACCGCGTGATATGCCGTCTGCGGGGGTTTCTGTTGACCGTACGTAGGCAAAGGATGCCTTTATTCCGCGAGAGTCCAAAAACTCATATATCCGTTGCAGCTCCCACGTAAACGCGTGCGATTTCGAGCTGCCTTTATTCGCCGCTCCTCGCAGCGAAGTGTTGTCCACCCAAACGTCCATTATGGATGGCAAGATGGCGGAAAAGAGCGATAAGGCTAAGCGTACCGCGCGTGCCTCGGCCTGCATGATAAGAAAAGGCCTCCTCTTCCATTTCCCTCCGGCAATTTTAACGTCACCGGAGTCTGGAATAAAAACGGCTCCCATCCATGGAGCGATGCATCCGCGATGATGGCGGCCGATGCCTTTTCAGTGGGCTTGATGATTCGCTTACGATTATTCCCGATGATGTGTCGTAACCTCTCGCCCAAACCAACCGCTGACGGCGGAAGGTTCGCCGGGGATGTCTCCTGCACAATCCCCCGGTTAAGTGCCGATAATCGTCGTCGCACTGCCTTGATGAAAAAGTGGTAGTCGCATAAACGCGTGCCCAAAATGGCAGCCAAATATAAAAGGCGTGACGCCGTAACCTCCATTTCCGCGATTGTTGAAGAATTAAGCGCCGGCATGGCGCATACAGAACGGACAAACTTGTCACTCGGGGATACCGCCTGGTGAGTTTAATCAAACCGCACCCCCAGGAAGGTGTACTGCGTAGCGCCCGATTTGCGATCCTCCCCTATCGTGGCGTGACAACTGTCCGCATTACGAAGCACTTGGGCTTCCCACAATGTCGCATCGCTTTCCGACCCTGCAATGCGTATATCATCGATCCATACGTCGATACGCACCAATGGAGGTGCAGCCCAGAGGCGGTGAGCCACCGTCGTCACCCCCGCAATTGCCGAAGTAATAATCTGGAGAATTTCTGGGCTGGCCTTGCATCCCATTGGGAGCCATGTAAGCTCCACCAGCGTGCCGTCCTCCACGCGGCACCGAAAAAGATGCCGCGTCTCCCGCGGTAAAAGGAAATGAAAAAAGGATGCCTTTAAATCCAGGCAGAAAGCGGCCTCAGCCATCACAGGCGGCAAATAATGGGAAATGTGTAAAAGAGGAACATGAGCCTAATAAGGGTCGTTTCTCTTTTTGTCGCGTGGCCACGCGATCCATCTTCGTCGTAAACCGGCGGTTTTCTCCTCCACAACCGAAAAAGGCATTATCCGTCCGCCTGTTGTTGTGGACAAAGCGTCCTCGATTATTCCCGCTTCCCCCAACAATCGCGCGTCAGCGGTTGGAATCCTCCCTGAGCCTTCGCGCGCTTTACCGGAGGAAGACGGAGGGAAAGGGGACCGCCCGACGAGTCCCCAAACTTGCATGAGACTCTCCAAGGTAGCCGGGTTCAACCGACTCATGATCCACTTTGGTATTCAATACGGGCACGTTGACTCGCTGTAACGGGATAGCGTGTTCATCTTGTGGAGTGGTCAGACGCGTCCTTGTCGCGCGTCTCGTTATTGTAGCAGCATGATTGTGATTAAAATCATGGAGAAACGCTCCTCCGCTTTCAACCAGGGCTCCTGCCCTTCCGCAGTGTCTCCCTTCACATCAATGTGACCAGCGACGACACCTGGGTCAGCATTGTGATATACTTCTTCAAATATCGAACAGTATTCTGGGGAAGGTCGAACGGATCGACGTGCTTCGCCAACTGCGAGTTCAATTGTGGGTCAAAATTGTGTGTCTCCACGATTTGAGCAGCGTGCCTCAACGCACCCTGTTTTGTGGAATGCCACGGCGCATTCCAAGGAGCCAGAGCCCGCTCCAAGTGGGCAGCCGCAAGATTCGTGGGCTTTTCGTTCTCTTGAAGTGTCCTGCATAGCTTTATAGTGTCGAACTCATCCTGCCCTCGTATCCTGACGAACCGCGAGGCGCGGTGGGGATCCGCCCTCGCCGTCTTCGGTGCCACGGACCAATCCAAAAACCAAGCTCCCGTCCGGCTCCAGTGTGAAATTGTTGGGTGTCAAGGATGCAATCTCGGACCAACGACTCGCCGTTATCCACGCAAGTCGTAAGACAACACGTTGCTTCCAATCGGTTCGGCTGCGGATATACTGATTCATTCACCGCTTCCTCTGTCAGGGGGCGTGTCTGCTTCGTCTCCGAGCGCGCCGCAATTTTTTGTATCCCCAGAATCACCATGTCCAGCGGGGTTCGATTCATTTCCAACATAGACCGCAGCATCCTGGCGTACTGTAGTCGGGTCGATGGCGCCACATCTAATATTCCCACCAAAAAGGCCGCGCAGCTCTCCTCGTTCATCGGCTGTTCGTGCGTGCAGCAAAGCACCGAAAATCGAAAATTGCCCCACTAGTGACATTCTCTGCTCCTTCCTTTGCAGCGCACACATTTCTCAAGCCACCTCGTTCGCGCTCCTCATGTGGCGGGCCCAAAGCGGAGATGTCGGTGATTCTTCGTACCACAGTCGAGCGTCGTTGGCGGATAAGCTCCATTGCCCTTGTCGACGATTGCGTCGGGCGATTTGAGAGATCGGGTGGAGCGTCGGCGGTGCGGTGCGACTCCATACAGGAAGGGATGGGGCTGGTTTCTTCCGCCTTCATAAGCGGCCGGCAGCCCCTCGCCGTTTTTTGGCGGCCGTCCGTGCTGCAAGTCAGTTCTTCTGGCTGCGCTGCGCGCGTTGCATGTAGATGCGTCGTGTCCACAAATACGACACAATCGGCATCGCAACAGTCGTTGTTGTTTTTGTTGTTGGGTGGCTCGCCGTTACACGAGAGGCTGGGTTGCCCTCGCGAAGGTGTCAGCCACATGAACAGCCATGTGAAGGCGGTCGCGAAGTTTGGAGAGCGGGATGCCGGGATCGGATGCAATCGTGAGCTGCATCCGGAAGGTCCGCAGTAGGGCCCTGCCAAAAATCCATGAGCTGATCGGTGGGATCCCGATCTATCTCCACTGCGCGCCTGCACGATACCAAACCGTCAAAGGCAACTGGAACCTGAGAGTCCGCCTGGTGCCAATAATAACTGTATGCGCATCGGGGGTCGACGAGGAGGACACCGGAGATGCACTCATTCCATATACGCGGGACCCAAGTGGTGACGTCGAATGCAAGAAAATGCAGTACCTGATCCTCTGCACCGGAGTCATCTTCCAAGGATGAAGTGCGGGAGGGCAAAGGCATCGAGTGAGAGAGATGTGGTCTCCCCACATTGCCCTGAGACGTATGGGTGTTGACCCGCCGTCTCCCTCCCGTGAGAGTGCGTTGGGGAAACGTGGATGCTGGCACGCCCCCAGCCATCAAACGATGCGGTTGATGCGGCTGTGTGTTGATGCCATCGTCGCGCATGCATGCGTGGGGGCTCATCTGGTGGCCCTCTCCGAGAGGTGGGCGCTTCTCGTTGGCACGGCGTCTCCGCGTCCCGCAATAAAATCGCCGGACACCGCAATGTGACATTCGCGCGCCGACAAGTAATTATGCGCCTCTTCCACCTGAGAGTAAAGCTGCGCACGCCGATTCCGAGCGTCCGCGAGGGCACTGGCGTGGTCGGTGCTCAGTCTCCGCCCTCCAGCAATGGTCAGCCCTTGCTGGACCCCCAACCCCCGGGCAGCCCGCACACGATGGGCAGGAGCAATTGAGTCTCAAAATTTGTTACTTGAGGCGCCCGGTGATCCGCCAAGTGCCCCGTAAGGGTCAAATGTTCTCTCAGTGCTTGGCGATGTTTCCTGAAATCAAGCGTAAGCCTGTCATTGTTGCACCGACGGCCCATGCCCACCAATAAAAATAAACTGCACATGAATATCGCCTCACTGGCGTACAAAGCCCAACACACGGGCGCCGATGTGGCACCACTCCGTCGTCGTATGAAAGAAACCGCTGCAATTTCTTTATGCCAACATGAATAAATCGGGCGTGACTGTAAAAATAAAAATAAAAATAAATGATTTCTTTTTACCACCATCGGTTCCCGGATTCCTTCAATTGCAGTCAACCAAAAATTCATAAAATAGGGAAAAAGTCATACAGAGATATATTGTTTTTCTCAGGAAAAGTATATATATATATATATATATATATATATATATAATTGGTTAGGTAGCCAATGTACCTCGTGCAAACATTATTTTCACGCGCTCCCAGAAAATAAAAGAAAAGAAAAAAAAAAAACACCTCCACAAAAAGACAAATGATAAAAATTGTCTGTGAGCCTTATAAGGCAGGTAAGCAATGGATAAGAAAAAAAAGGGGTAGATACATCCCATGCGTACCGAATGGGCACGTCATGTAGTTCGACGCAAAATATGAGTGATGGACGGAAGATGAAGGAGAAATGCAACTGGGGGATAACTCGCCAACAGAGCCGCTCCAATCGCCATGAAGAGAACAATTAACAATTGTGTATAGGGAAGCGCAAACGGGATCTCCAGTTGCGTAAAGAGATAATTCTGAAGCTGCATACTGTATCCTATCGTCAGGCCCACAATGATACCCACAATGCCGGAGGCAATGACAACAACAAACGATTCCCATATGAAAATTCTGTGGATCTGAAATCTAGTCATACCAATGCAGCGATAAATCCCAATTTCTTTAGTTGATTCGGATATATTTGCCGTCATGCTAGAAAGCAAAGAAAAGAAACAGATTGCCAGCGTCACGACTTGTACAAATATAAAAAAGAAACCAAGTGTACGATCTGCGATACCCAAATACTGTGCTGTTCTGCCGTCGTCACGAACAGAAGTCTTGGTAATGCGGCGGCGTCGAAGATATTTTTCCATTACCCGGGAGACATAATTGACGTAACGAGAGTCTGGGACTCGTAGACTCACGGTGGATATCTTGATGCTGCGAACACTTAAATATTCCACCCCGCTGAAGCGCGTCAAGGAAGGATATGAAGTCAACACAACACCATCCATTTCACGAAACTTTGTCATGGAAACTTGAGGAGCTGCATCCAGCACTGCAGATGGCTTTACGGCATGACGCACATTCTCGACGGATCGTTTCTTTGCATCCGTCATTATAGCCGTTACAAGCATTTCAGGATCCTCAAGAGACCTGGATTGAAGCGTCGAAAAGACAGAGCTAGATACAATAATCTGATTCCTCTTTGCGGTATATACAGCACCGGAGATGGAATATTTTCGACTTTGTTGATTGTACTTTTTCACCAACAAAAAATCCTTATTTAGAGCATCGAGGTAATTGGGTGATATCGCAACAAGCGAATTAATGAAAACCCCCTGATAACGCCCGGGCGAATACAATGACACATTCTGAATGTTGAAACCTGCAGTGATCGTATCGGAAAGATACGTCACCGCTGAGACTTGAGGGAGAGCCGCCTTTATAAAATGTGACATCCTGGAAAACGTAAACAAGTCCAGGCCCTCAAAGTCAACCACCACCTCCGCCCCCATCGATCTCCGGATGCCGTGCTGAAACGATCTCAGTTGAACTTGAAAGGCAATGGTGATGAATATAATAAAACCGAGCGAAAAGGCGTACATCAATGTCGTTTTGCGGTTCCGTTTTCGATGAGCCACCAGACAATTCTGAAAAGCCCGGAATACAGCAGCTGATTCCCAGAAAAAAAAGATGTATGATGAAACCGTTTGAAGCGTCCGCTCAAAGTTAAGCGACAACAGCACCATTCCCGCTAGCATGCCAATCAAAATACCAAAGAATATGTAGAAAAGCAGCCCAAGCCGCATGTGCATCAAACCAATAGGGAAAAAGTAATGCAACAGAAAACCAAAGGCTGCAAAGGCGGTTCCGATACCAAACATCATGTAATTTATTGACCTTGAATAACCCCCGCGCTCAATTTTGTATATAACACCTACATTACGTCCACGACTGGCATTGAGAGCTTCCGAAAGATTTTGTCTCAGGAGATTAATAACAGGAAGTAAGGCTCCAAAAAGAGGAAGCAACAATCCGAGTAATGTCGCCCAACCAAATGCTTGTCCTGGAACAATGTAAGGTAAATTGACACCAATAATATCACGTAACACAGAGCGCAACCCTAAAAACACCACCTGTCCTGCAATAAGTCCAAGTATCCATGCGGGTATGGTAAAGGCATATGCATTCGTAAAAAGCATGAACACCAAAGTCCCTCTTGAAAATCCAATCATCCGCCTAACACCCAGCTCATATACCTGACTCTCTATACTTAAATTAAGCAGCGAGTATATGAGCATAATACTCAAAAAAGCCAGTGATAGTAAAATAATGGAGACGATCAATTCCACAAATAGCGAGAAAAATCGGACAGTGTACAAAAAATCCAATATAGGCGTGTTCACGGTTATTTGATTAAAACCAAGTGGCTCGGCAATTGAACTAACCCAACTCGAGAGTCGTAGGCGTACAGTTGCATAGTCCGTGTTCTTGTATGTGTTCGTACGCTCCTTTGGGCCCAAGTTAAAATGAATGGAGGTCGCACACGACTTTGGATTGCTTTCCTCAAATTTCTTAACGTCCTCCTGGTTGTGCTTTGGAAAAAATCCCTCAGAAACCATAGAAACAAATGTATCGTAGTCCAGAACGATAAAATCATCCGAATCAAACTTGGAACGGTCTGGAGCGACAATATCCACCACTTTTAAAGACACAATCGTACGTGTATTTCTAATCAGTGAAGGATTACTTCTAAACAATTCATGTAGAGGAGGGCCGAGCGATGCAAAAAGCACAACTTTATCCCCCACCTTTGTGTTATTTGCAGCCGCAGCCACACCGATCGACAAAATCACTTCCCCCTTCTTTAATTTTCGCCCCTTCCATGATGTCCCAAATCCCATTCGAGTTTCACGTTCCTCGTTGATAGCAAAAACCAAAGCCGGAGTTTCGGTGCCATCGCAATATTCACCCAAACAACCAGGAAAACATAATTCATTCTTCTTATCGTACCATAAATCCTGCGGCTTTTTAATCCCTGAACAGGTGGAATATTTCAAAATGTATCCCCCAAATCGGATCCGAGGAGAATGATAACCGCGTAGGGGATCCGTAAGTGGAAATATTTGCTCAACAATCGAATAGTTTAACGACGATGCAGAATGCAGCTCTCCTCCGGTTGTGATAGCGAGATCGTTCTTCGCGTTATGTACCTCACCAAGTCGAAGAAAAACAATTGGGAGGTTAAAAATCGTCGACATCAATATCACACACAGAAACACTACCAAAAATACGGAGAAAAAACTTATGAAGTATGATACTTTGTGGGCCTTTGCGTTCATAAGTGCATTTTTCATAAACACAGCAGTCATGGGACAAATCCTTTTTCGCTCCGCGCAAAGACGCCGCATGAATGCCATCCAGCTTTCACTCTTCACCTCCAACTCCACGTTCAAAATGGAGTTTGGGTCCGAAACTGCACCGAGGTCCTTCGTCTGTGCCATTTGCCGGAGCCCTATAATATATTACCGTGCCGTTTGTTTTTTCTTTTCCCTTTCCTTACTTTTCCATGCCCAATCATCAATGGGACATGCATGTGCATGGACACAATAGGGGATTAAAAAAAAAAAAAGGAGTAAAATTAAAAAGGCACGCCATCGTTTAACACACATTTAAACGGCAACAACAAAAACAACAAAAACAACAAAACCACAGCAACATGCAGGAAAAAAAAAAAAAAAAAGAAAAGAAAAGAAAACAATCTGGGCGCACTCCAGTCAGCGTCATCCAACCTTCACATCTCTGCCATAACACAGGAACGCATGCACTACGGAACCCAAAACAATTTTAGCGAAAAATGCCGCTCAGTGTTAAAACTTCATGCAAAATCATATTGAAAACCACATATAGAACAAACGCACACACAAATAAATCCAAATAAATAAAACCAGAAAAAAAAAAAAAATGATGACGTATATGAAACTCAATCAATCCTGTACATTATTATCAGCGGAAACAAAATAACAACCACAAACTCCGTCAAAAATAATTGTTCTCAATTCCTCCGAGCATATGCCTCTCCTTAATATTCATTTTCTTTTCCTTCCTTCCTTTTTTAAAAATGGTTCTTGCTTGCATTGTTTACATCAGACTCAAAGTTGCACAACCGGCGTGCAGTTGCCGTACCGACACATGCCTCTGATAAACCGCGTTTCTTCCCCCTATTTTCTGTTTTCCCTTTTGAGTGCTGCCGTTTTCATCCAAAATTACATCTGGGAGTGCAATATTCGAATCATCAGTCGTGCTCATAGAATTGATATTCGCAGCCCCAGCGACAGCGGCTTCTACAATGTTGCTGTCAATGGAATTGAAACGATCCGCAGCTGGCGCAAAGCAGGATGAAGCCATCGCCGTTTCACTGTCGGTCCGCAGTTGCGGTCCAGCACTCATCTCCTCGGCTGAAACTGCAGGGAGAGGTTGTGGCGTACTCGCCGCCTCTACGAGTCGTCTCACAAGTCGTGCCTGATGAGACATATACGCAGCCTCATAAGATGCACAAGGCGCCAAGAAGAATGTTTCCGTTTCTTGAAAACCTCTCGGTGATTTCGACTTCCTCTTTTTATCACCCCTGAATTTACCCATGCGGCTGAGACGCAAAAATCGGGTCAGCGACGCCACTTCCGGTGTATAATGACGCTCTACTGTCGTGTCTGGCTGTAAATTGAATCCAGAAACAGCAGACGTTATTCGCCGAGGTGTATTGGATCGCCTTCCACCGCGGGGCACGCTTCCTCGTGATGGTAACGCCTGTCGTTGGTCATCATCCCAGGGAGCATAAAGACGGCGAATGTGGAAACTGGCTTCAGGCGCACCTTTAGAATCAACAGTAAGATCCAACGGTGAAGGCGTTTCCTCCATTTCTCTCATTGCTCCCGTAAATTCTGCAGCCAAATGACGCAGTACGTTGTGTTGCATCACCCCCGTCTTTACCCGGAGCAGAGCATCCGAAAACTCCTCCTTGACTTTATTTAGAAATGCACCATCTCTCATCCCTTTGGAGGGAGTGCCATGCCCACCGGGAAGTTCCACGCCCCTCGCCTGCTCGCTGGCGGTGGAAGAAAGTACCAACCCAGCCAGTCTTGCAGATGGAGTGGAAGAGGAGCCCCATATAATATGGGTCATGCGAATTGCTAAGGAAAGGTGCAACAGCGAGCATGAAGCGGACTCTTCCTCCACAGGCCATCGCCGTTTTTCGATCTTGGCAAATTTGCTCTCAGCCTCCGACGGAGATAATGGAGGGGCATTGATAAAAAATGGAGCATCTGTAAATTGCCCAAGACGAACATTCTCATCTTCCCGTAACAAATTACAGTAAAGAAGAAAGTGTTTTGCGAAAGTATTGCCCTGCTCAGGCTTTTGCAATAATTGACGAAAGACGTGTAAGACGGCCCTTCGAATGATTGGAAAGGGGACAAGCATATCAATCTCATCACTATTTCTCACACCATAACCATCATCCACTGGAATAACAAAATTCAGAATGTTATTCATCCATGCCTCTTGATGCTCCATGTATGCATCTAATGTTAGCTGAAGATACTCATCATGAAAATGCGAGGGTAAACCGTAACGGGAATCCACATCAAATAAATCCGTAAAGCGCACAAGGGTCGATGGTTGATCCATCGAAATGGCAAATCGCAAACGTCGCATCTGCGTCTCTGTAGGCGGAATCCAGCCAACCTTTGTGAGATGTTCCACCGAATTTAAAATACCATCCACGGTAGAACTGTCTCCAGTTCGTGTTAAAGTCTCTACGAGCGAAAAACGTGCCGCACCACAGCAGGAAACGGCATACGTCGCAAAACAGTGTTTGTACATTAATTCTAAAACCTCATCTAGTGGAAGGAGTCCACGTGAGGCTGAAAATGATGTTGTTTCTTTATTGAAAGATTGCCGCTTAATTCTTTGCTTTTTGGATATATCTGGGCCCTGATTCGCTTTAAATGCCTCCAAAAAGGAAGCATGTGGTCCTAAAACAGCTCCGATTCTTTCATCAAGAGTTCTCCACGCCGTCGGAATTTCTTTCTTCTCCGCGGATTTCTCTTTAGCTACATCCTTGAATGGACTGTCTCCCTTTTCAGGTTTCTCCGGTACTGCAGGGGATACGGCGCTCTCCTCCCTAAAACGAGACAAATACTCATGAATATTGTGTTTGAGTGTATAAAAGTCGGACCTTGCAGGCTCAGCAGTCCGGTCATGTGAAGATGTTTTTTCAGAACTGCTGACGTTGCTCCCTGGCAGGATGAGACCATATCCCTCCCCGTCACTATCAGGTTCAATACTAGTACTCTGTTCCACCAACGGGGCTGTGTCAATGACTTCCACTGCCCTTTTTAGAGCATTGAAAGGGGTGTCATGAATCAACTCCTCTTGAGGTGTCTTCTTGCAGAACGCCGTGTCAGAATCATGCATTTTACTCAAACTGGATCGAAACGACGAGCTTGGACCAATATGATGACAGAGAAGCTCCTCACAATCTTTGCGCAAAGCCTCTAGGCTGGCCCAGAAATTAATCGCTACCGATTCTGGAACCTGCTGATGGGCAACAAGATAAAATAGTCGAAAGTCAGCGTCCACCTCCTTGTATTCCTCAGCATAATAGTATAATGAAAATAGTAACTCACGGGCCTGTGATGAGAGTACCACGGGTACTTCTTTACCATCTTTCATGATATAAAAAATAGTAGAAAAGAGCATTCGTACACTATCAACGGCTTTCTCGTTTCTACCAACCACACCTCGCACCACAAGTCTCTTGGTTTCCTCCTCAGCATTTTCCTCTGCCATCTTCGTGTTGAGAGGAAAGGTACGCTGCACAAAATCGACCAGTGCAGCCAGGAAGGTTAATGGATAAATGGGTCTATCTGTAACGTCTCCCTCACCCTTTGCTTCTCCTTGCAATTGACCCGAATTGGGCTCCCCACGTGGTGACTTGAACACCCTCACACGCCTTTCCATTTCTTTTTTATACTGAAGTAACCGCTCACTCCAAAAACAGTATATTATTAAACGAAGGGTTGCCTGATCGTATTGTGCGCTGTTGGGTATATCTTCTTCTATGGGTACATTGCCCATCAAAGCGGTGCTCGGCTGCGGAAGAAGAACAGATGCCAGTGAAAGAACTGGAAAGCTACGATACAAACCTTCCCAAGATGTCATTACGTTCTCTGTATTAATACCCTCACTATTTCCACCAACAGAAGGAGGAGCGTAATCAATGATATAATTTCCACGCCAGCGTGGAATAGAAATCTCCCATGCCATTTCTGTCATTCCCTCCATATTTCCAAGTTTCCTCTGGGTGTAATCCGTTACAAGTTTCAAAACAAGATTCGGGCTGTACATATCACAAAATTTGCCACCAAATGGTGTGCGACGGAAGAAAAGAGGTCCAGGGTTAGCCGGGAAGGGTTCTTCCATCTGGGCATATCCCATAGAACGTCGCTGTAGACGCACAAAAAGAAATAATGACCATGCATTATCTTGGGAGAGGAGGAAGTCTACGTAGGAGCTTCCCCCATTCATTGTTCGCAGCTCCTCAAAACACCACATGAGTTTTTCATATTTTTCCTCCAAGGAGCTCTGACGTCGTTGCTGTATCTCAATATAATGGTCACGTCGCAAAACTCGTCTCTCCAGGCGTTCAATTAAGAAAAACGCATCGTCTAGATAACGGTGCGAAAGTTGCGCCTCCTTTTCTGCGCTTTCCAAAGCTCGTTTGGTTTCTTGTAAAGACTTTTCCGTCTCTCGCCAAAGACGTGACATGTGCGACAACTCACGTTTTACATGGCCAAGCTGCATGGCCTGCACACGCCGTGATCCTTCGGACGAGGTATGAGAGTTGCCAGCGTGTCCAGCCAGATTGAACTCACTGCTACGCTGCTTCCAAGCGTCCAGCTCTCGTTTCAAGCTCTCTAGTTGTACCCGCATCTCTTGATTCTTCGTCGTGTATTGCTGCAGCTTTTTTTCTGTCTTGCTTAGTTCCGACTTCAGTTGAGCATTTTCCTGCTGTAGCTCATGGTGGGAAATACATTTGGCGTTGTACGCCGCCTCGACCTGTTGGAGCTGCGATCGCAAAAACGACACCTCATAGCTTGTTCCATCAACGAGAAGCTTTGGTCCGGCACCGGTACGTAATACGGAGGAAGAGGGAGTATTTCCGGAAAATTCATCAGAAAAAGCAACAAATCTGACTCGTGTGCTTTCTTGTTGTGGCGTGCCGTCTTGTAAAGAGGAGTCCTTCCCCAAAGTCACTAAATCCGTGGCACTAGAAGCCAGTGCAGAAACGTCGCCCGCTGTATCAGCTATCTCAAGCGCATTAGGCTCTTCGTGTAGGGTCCGACGTCGACTAGCCCTATCAAGAAGAGAAAGAAAGCCGGGCGTGCCTTCCACGAAGGTTGTGGCGCCAAATCCAAACATCCCATCGACCCCAGCCACCGTGCCTGCAGAAACCGCGTCCTCGATGGAACGCGGGCAGAACATTAAACTCGCACATTTGTTCATTGCAGGGTGTTGGTATTTATTGTTCCTTGCCTTAGTATTATTGATAGCGGGAAGCGGGTAACTAGCGACAGGAACCATCCCTGGTGTAAGAAGCGCCGCTTCGGAAGCCTTTACACGCATGACATAGCAGATTTCCCGATCCACCAAAGCATGAAGATTACTTCCGTACGTTTCGGGATGACTTGCAAAGTGACGAATGCAGTTATGAAGCATGCGTAGCGGTTCAATGACGTTGCTGTCATTCTGCTGCATAAACGGGGATGATACATGTGCGCCTCCAATAAAAGAAGACGTCGTGTTAAACTTTTTGTGCTTCCCAGAATCGGGAGACATTGTGCCGCAACCTCCCTTTTTCTCAAGCTGGCTGGTGATGGCGTTGACATCTTTGTCCTCAACCTCCAATGCAAATGTTTCAAAAAAGCGCTTCTTCTGATGCATTATTATTTTTTTTTTCCTTCTCTTTTCTTCTGAAAGACTCCTTCCTTTTTATTTATTTATTAATTTCTTTTTCCCTTTTTCCCCCCGTCCACCCACCCCACGCTGAGAGAAGAAAAAAAAAGTTACATCCTCCGGCCAGTTGGAAAAGACTAATGGGGGAAAACAACACGAAAAACAACAGGAACCAAAACTCCCCTCCACCTTCTCGCGCAGTTCGATAAAAACTGGAGTTTCCCGTCGTCACAGAATTACACGGCAGAAAATATAAACGTATGGACGCCCTCTGGTTTGGAATTCAATAATAACAATAAAAAAAAAAAAAAGGAGAAACAAATGTATGAGGAACGTCAAGCGGTCAACTAATGATTTCTTGCTTCATTGCATCTTCTCTCCCTCCCACTCTCTACCATGCCTCAAGACGTAATATGCACACAGTAACAATTATACATGAATTTGTACACACTTTCAGGGGAAGAAAAGAAAAGAAAAAAAAAAAAAAAAAGAAACACTAAACGATGACATGAATCTACGTGAGGCATCCAAAAAGGTTTCGTCTTCAGTTTCTTTTGATCCATAAAATTTTTATTTGAGACAATTTTCTTTTCCCTTTTCTTCTTCTCTTTGCTGTCGCCCACCTGCATGCCTCACGCAAAAACAGAGGAAGGAAAAAGGGGCGTGCAAAAAAAAAAAAAAAAAAAAAAAAAAAAAACGAAAAATAAAGAGAGAGAAAAAAATAAATAAACAATCGTTGATCGTGTGCAGAATAGGGGGCGGGTAAATGGAATGGGATGGTAAAGAATCCGTTCGCCTGATTTATCCCGCCATGTATATATGCATATATATATATATATATATGTATACACTTTCACAAACACGTGTGAAGAGGAAGAGAAAGAAAGCGTGTCTGTGTGTTTGGGAATGTGCGGTGAACCTCATGTTAGGAATTGTCAGACTCCGAAGAAGCCGCCGGCTCACCCACGGTACCCAGCAGCCCTGTGAGAACGTCCTTCCCGTTTGAGGCATTTTGAACAATCCACTCATGTTGCAACAACTCAATCGCAGTGCTACGATCATCAGGGTTTCGGCAAATGCAATGATTTATAAAATCCTCCGCCTTTTGAGAACATGCGCACTGATCAACTAAAGAGAGTGAGCAACACTCCGTCACTTGGCGTAACAAAGCCATAAATCCTCCTTCTGCGGCTGAAAAGGGAAAACGTCCAAGCAGCAGTTGGGCAGTTAATACTCCCACGCTCCAGATGTCACTTGGTGTACTGTAATTCCGTCCTTGAATCCGCTCTGGACTCATGTATGTGGCAGTACCAACAAAAGAATTTACGCCAATTGTTTCTGCGCTTGCGGCAATGCCAAAATCCGTGAGTTTCACAACACCGTTTTTAGAAAGCATTACATTGGCTGGCTTGATATCACGATGAATTTGACGGCGTCCTTTTTTATCGGTTTCCGTGGGGTGATTCGCCTTGGTATGAAGGATCTGTAAGGCATGCAGAATTTGTGATGCAATGTAGGCACATGCCGGCTCTGGAATGGTTGGGCAGATAGCGATCAGTTCTTCCAAGTTCCCCCAGTCCATATACTCCATAACAAGTGAGAGCGTACCGTCCCTATAAAAGGCGTTGTAAAGCTCCACGGTGTATGCATTGGTTCCCTGAGAGAAAATGTTACGTAATTCTCCTGCCACGGTGCTTTTATTCATTCGGTCCGTCGTCCTGTGAATAAGGAGCCGCTTCACCGCA